CATAAAACATTTTCCATTTCAGAGTTTCGCTGTCGAAAAGGAGAAAGATTATAAGCCACTATTATCAAAATCAATGACATTTTCTGTACATTTTGCTCAAGCCAACAACAGGGATCCTTGCTACAAGACGCTTACAACTTAAAATTGAGAGCCACGAGGAAAGGGCAACAGCAGATCAAAAAGGAACAAAAGACAAGAAGTGTGAGCAAGTGCAATTATGCACCAACTTCACTCCAGTTTGGGAAAACTGGGTGAGCTTCTTTGGAATGTCCACAAGACTTTCTGGAAGCTTGGTACTGATGCAAAGTGGTTAAGGCTTGGGCAGACTAAGTCCTTTGTGGTTCTGAAGGTTGAGTGCAGACTTCTCTTGATGTAAAATCTACTTTAGGAGTTACTCTATGGCTGAATTCACACAACACCTTGCCAGATGTTCACCTTCAAGCCAGGTTAACAAGACACGTGCCAGGTTAAAGCTAAACAAATAAAACACATTTTGGTTTAACTTAGTGGTTTCCTTCACATAACAGATTCAGACAACAGTCGAGTCCCCCAGATTACCAAAATCCATTTCAGCCTAATCAAATTCACTCTATTAATTGATCCCCACATGTCTCATTCCATTGCCCACCCCAGGGAATACTAGAGCAGGAAATTGTCCTGGGAAATGGTTTTTGTGTAGCTTTTCACCTTTGGGAGCTCACACAAGGATTTCATCCCCAGCATTTGAGAACTAACCTTTGTACATGGTGTGATTTACAGCTGAAAAGTCAAAGAAAATTGAGATTTATTTATACTTAACAAAGTTGGAAATGTTTACTCTTCTCCCCCCCCCCAAAAAAGCAAGTGGGCGGTCTTAAATACCTGGCACCTGTTCTATCCAAAAATGCCCTATCGATGGTAGCCCTGAGCCACTGGTGAGAAGCAAAAAGTTGCAACTCTCAGATAAGGCATTAAAATCTGAATTATTGAGTCTGGTTTCCCCAAGCCACTGGCTTTTCAAAATTAGCTTTTCCTTTTCCATCTGCTGCTATCCTCCTTCCAACCTCCTGTCTCTCTTCTTTGCATATAATTAACAGTGACTCCCAATTTAATTAACAGCTTCCAGGGAGCCCCAGCCAAGCCCACATCCAAAGTACCATCAGACCACAGACTCTGGTCTGCTCTCCATTTATCTTTCCCCCCTCTGAATGGGAAGCAGGACAAGCTAATGTCACAGATGCCCAATGAATGAAGGCTATGGTGGATAGGTTGGGCTAGCCTGCCAACGAGGAAACCTTCCCCAGATCTGAGAAAGGGACAACCAGAAGAAGTAGCTGGGGCTCAAAATTCTTCACATGACCAAGAGGTTTTCAAAAGTAGACGGAACCACCATTTGACTGAGATTAAGATTCCTTTTTTAACATCCCTTTTTATTTCTCATACTAACCCTGTTTTCTCTCTCACAAGCAAACCATAGTAGTTGACTACAGGAATGGAAACTCCGGTCTCACCAGAAACAGAAACAGATTTCTTCCAGAGGTTTCTGGAAATGAAGCCAAAGGCTACAGAGGCCTCTCTTTGGCCGTAAGTTGATCACCTCTGGTATAGAGCAGGGGTAGGCAACCTTGGCCCTTTTATGACTCGTGGACTTCAACTCCCAGAATTCCTGAGCTAGCTTGGCTCAGCTTGGAAACCTCTCCCTGTCCCTTTAGCATGGCTGGCTCAGGAGTTCTGGGAGTTGAAGTCCACGAGTCATAAAAGGGCCAAGGTTGCCTACCCCTGGTATAGAGGCAGCAGAAATTCTGTGTTCCTCTGATCAAGGGTTGGAAACAAGCAGCAAATGCAACGCCATACACCCATATTGTGCTGGAACACACCTGTTAATGTAAATTGGCAGGGTATGTTTTTGGCTTTCTGTTCTCAAAATCTGACAATTGGCCAGGAGGATAACATTCTGGTTGAACCAGTACGCAGGTTGGGTAGAAACACCAGGCACATCCTGATCTTAGCTTCCCTCTCCTTCTCCTCCTCCTGGTGCCTAGAAAATGACAGAATCATGCATCTCACAAAGAGACCGAAAAATGGAACCGCACAACCACCCAGTGATCCTCTCTGTTATGGTTCTGTTCCTCCTTCTCAGTAAATACGAAGGATCTCTAGGAAGCTTCTACTTGAGGCCCAAAGATCTGGAACTACCGTGTAATCTCTCCCCTGGCACCTGGAAACCTCCATGCCTCATCCAATTTCTTAAACTTCACTACTTCAAAAGCCTTAGCAGGGCTGCAGGCACTTTGCAAACCTAATTCCACCATGAAGGATCATCTTGGTTTCCAGGAATGCCTCTGGATCTTGCCTGTGATGAAGGCATTATTTAAAAAGAAGCCTAACGAGATTCAGCAGTTGAAAAAGGGTTTGGTTATAACGATGCTCATCCAGCCAGGGGAAAAAAAAAAAAAAGACCAAAAGCACGTTGGGATGGGAAAATCTATCAAGAACTCCGCCATTTTGTTTTGTTAGTAGAAATGTTGCAGCCGTAACATGCTTTTAGAACACAGAACATAAAATCATAAGGCTGGAAAGGAACTCAGGTGTCTTCTAGTCCAGAGGTCCTCAACCGTGGCAACTTTAAGACTTGTGGACTTCAACTCTCAGAATTCCTCAGCCAGCTTTGCTGGCTGAGGAATTCTGGGAGTTGAAGTCCACAAGTCTTTAAGTTGCCAAGGTTGAGGACCCCTGTTCTAATCCAATCCTCTGCTCAAGGCAGGAGACCTTATCCCATCCCAGTCAAATGGTGGTTCAGTCTCCTTTTGAAAACCTCTTGATCATGTCAAGAATTTTGAGCCCTAGCTACTTGTCCCGATTGTCCCATTCCCAATTATCATGTCATCCCTGATCCTTCTCTTCAATAGGCCAGGCACACCTAGTTCTCTCATCCATTCATCATAAGATTGTTGCCACCAGACCCCTTATCATCTTTACTGTTCTTCTCTGTACTCTTTGTAAGGTCTCAACATCTTTTTTTTTTTTTTTTTTTGGTATCATAATGACCAGAACTGGATGTATTATTCCACGTGTGATTTCACTAGGGCAGTATAAAGCATTACTATCACTTCTGGTGATCTTAACGCTATCCCTCCTCCGTGGATGCGTTGGCTTTTTTGGCAGCAACTCTGAAGAGATTAGAGAAGACTCCTGACCAAAGAGACCATGGCCAACGGATCAATTAAGGCTCCACCCAAGCCTAGATCGAACGATTAGAAGGACAAATTTCCAAGTTAAAAAAAAAGGAAAGCATGATAGTTAAGATCTGAACCCTTGAGAGATGCTATCTTGCCTGTCTTTTTCAAAGAATTCAAGTAGCCTTTGACTTGCCACCACAACTGAGCCCAAAATTTTTGTTGCTGAAACACTTGTGAAGTGAGTTTTGCCCCATTTTACGACCTTTCCTGACACGCTTGTTAAGTGAATCATGGCAGTTGTTAAATTAATAACACAGTTCCGAAGTGCATCTGGTTTCCCCTTTGACTTTGCTTGGCGAAAGGTGATCACGTGACCCGGGAGGGACGCTGCAACCGTCATAAATGTGAGTCAATTGGCATGTGTCTAAATTTTGATCACATGACCAGGGGGGTGGTGCCAAGGTTGTTAAGCGTGAAAATTGGTCGTTAAGCGTGAAAATAAGTACCTTTTTCCAGTGCTGTTGTTTAAGCTGAGGACTACCTGTATCAGCATCCTGGCTTCTTTACAAGAGATCCAAGCTGAGGTTGCTAAAGGTTCAATGGCTGCCCTCGAGTTTGCTACTTGGTGCTAGCTGTTTCCTTTACCAAGCTCTGTGGTGATTCTCCTCCTATTCTTCTTGCTCTATTTTGCCTCAATGGCCTGGGTGCTCCGCTTATTCGCGTCTTGGGCTCCTCTTTAAAAATGCTGAGCATTCTTAAAGTAAACTTCCAAGGGCAATAAAATGCACCAGTAGCAGCACCAGGGTTGACAACACAACAGTGTACCAGCAATTCTAGCTCTGTCTTCTCTGAAAACTGATGCAAGCTAGGAATGAGGGAGAAATTAAGGTCAGAGAACCACAGGGGAAAAATTAAACTGTTAACCCAAAGCCGTAGAATTGCTTGTCTTGCTGTTCTTATTGATGGGTGGAGTTTCATACCAACTCTCTGATTAATTCAAACTTCAAAAGCTTGAATGGGATGCCTCAAAGCTTGAATATGGTGCTTGTTTTATGTAAGGTCTAAAAATGCAGGATTCTATTTCTATCGCACCTTCGTTGTTATCACCACCGTAATTTTAAAGACAGTCCTTCATGTTTTGGGAAGGCGCATCCATTTGTGCTGAAGTGCCAATGCATAATTTAAAATAACAAAGGAACTGAAAGAGTGATTACAAAAGCTCACATCGTTTTCTTCAGGCCGATAAATATTAATTTGAGGAACTCATTTATCCATCTTAAGAGTCAGCAGAACTGTGTGCTTTTTCATCAGATCCCTGGAAACCCCAATAAGATGCCATCAGAGCAGGCCCTACCCACCTACCCACCCATTCACATGTCTGCCACTGGGTAGTCCTGTATAAGGATGATGTTCAATTAGACGTCTTCTCCAAATGGGAGATGAAGGGAATAAAAACGAGAACTGTCCAAATAAAATTAGTATGCAGGAGATGACTAGGCTGAACCTGAGGCAAACTCATCCTCAATCTCAAGTCCCTTCACACCCACCAGAGATCAAAGTCAAGCCCACCTTGAATTCGATCGGACTCTTATCTACCACCAATTTTGCTTTGACCATTAGTAATTCAGATTCTTGTAGAGAGCACTAGCATACCACACACTTACATATATTCACCTGAATTGCCTAGACTCCTGATTTCCTGAGCTTGACACCAAGGATGGAACCGAAGAACGTATAGGACCCTACTGTAGATGCCATTTTAAGGGGCCACCAACTTGTCATGTCTCTTTTTATCAATGCCATATGCAACCAATGCTCCCTCTGGGAAGACACAAGACTCACCGTGGTAGGGCACCGTTTTCCTGGGCACCAAGTTCCACCAGTTGCTGACTGCAGAGGCTTCTGTGCTAAGAACCAGCGAGGTTAAGAGACACACGCTGAGAATCAGCTGAGGAACCATTCTGCTGAGGAAGGAAGATTTCCACCGTAGGCTGAGAAGAACCATCCACGCCAAAGCACTGCTGCTCCTGCTGCTGCTGCTGTTACAATCCCGGTTCCTTTCTTCCTCGGTGAGTTGGCCTGGCAAAGGGGAGAGGCGAGCGGTTAGCTGGCTAAGGCTACAGTGGCATCAGCCACATGCCCAGAGTCCCAGTGGGAAGGACCAGGAAGGGAGATGAAAGGGAAGGGGGCTCGCAGGGGAACAAAGGAAGCAGTGAGGGAGTTTCCAGTTGGGTACCAGTCTTCCCAGAGGCTCATGGGCCCTGGTGATTCAGCCAATGAGCAACAGGAAGTGGAAATTTGAGAATCCCTGTTCTTCCCCCCCCCCCAGACCCACCACTCCTTGCTGTCCCACACCGTCCTCTTTCCCAGATTTCACAATCTGAGTTCCTGTGTATCTCTATTAAGGGAAAGGCTTTTTACGTTTCTCGGAGAGGCTGACCTGGATGGAAGAGTCACTGAAATGCAAGCAGTGCATTAAACAAAAGAAACAAAAGGCGCTTCTAATCTCATCATTAAGTTTACAACAAGGAGAATTTCCTACACACACACACACACACACACACAGACACACACGGTTTTTGTGAGGTCGAAAGGAAATGAGGGCTTCAAAGGTGGGCAATTCCGAGGGCACAAAAAAGGAAGGAGGGAAATTGCTTTCGTTCCCCCAACCAATCTGTTGCAGTCTATTATCTCTTAAAATTTACAACCAGGAGCAAAAGGCAGCCAAATGAAGCCTCCCGGTCTCCCAAATCACCACACAGCGATCCTGTGAGGTAGGCTAATGAAGAAGATAGTCACTCATCCCGGGATTCCAAATAAGCTTCAATGGCTGAATATGGACCAAGTCTCCCCCAGTTGTATCCCCAAATATTAGTCACTTCTTCCCTCCAGTGAAGGAACACCCACAACTTCTGGGCAAAGCTGTTCCACTGGTTAATTGTCCTCACTGTTATGAAGTTTGTCCTTAATTCCAGGTTGCTTCTCTCTTTGATAAGCTTCCATACATTATTTCTTCTTTTCTTTGGAGACTAGGTGACCCTCTCTTTTCTGTGACAGCCCCTCAAATATTGGAAGACTGCTGTCACGTCACCTCTAGTCCTACTCTTCGTTAAACTAGACATATCTAGTTCTCTCAACCATTCATCGTAGGGTTCAGCCTCCAAACCCCTTATCATTCAGGGTTGGAAATAAGTTCACCTCTCCTGGTTTATTTCAACCATCCAAAACCCACTGTGTGAACTCATACCTAGTGATTCACCCGGCTGAAGTCAAGCTACCTTTTCTTAGAAAGAGTTGAAAGTCAATAGCCAGCAAAACTAATCCGAACAAAAAATAGCATCTTCTACTAAGAAATTCCTTGCGAATGAGTACCAAGAACGCAACGTGTTCCGTCCAGAAACAAACTGCTTCTTCATCTCAGCATCACTAGCTCAGCTTCTCCCAAATTCATGTTCTCCAAAGCTCCTGGATTATAAAGCTCACCATTCTCATATTTCTCTTCCGAGAAGTTTGAGCATCATTAAGATTATAAAAAGATAGACCAACCAATGTGACCGTAATAATTTATCTGCCTGTGGATATCTGTACAGGATTGCAAAAGCTATCTCTACAGTTTCCCAATCAGGTTTCAGTAATTCAGGATAAGCATCAAACCCGCCAGATATGGAGTCATTGATATGCATGCATGCGCTCCTTTTAAAATATGGCTCGTATGATGCTCAGGAATTGCAAGTGGCTGGGGGTGCTTTCTTAAAGGAAGAGGAAAAAATGCTTTATTTCAAACTCAAAACAACCTGCTGTATTCTGGACGCTCCGGTTCAGCATAAGTACTGGTAGTCTTTGATTTACAACCGCAATTGAGCCCAAACATTTTTGTCATTAAGTGAGACAGTTGTTAAGTGAGTTTTGCCCCATTCTACAACTTTTCTTGCCACTGAGTCACTGCAGTTCTTAAGTTAGTAACCACGGTTGTTAAGTGAATCTGGCTTCCCCATTGACTTTGCTTGTCAGAGGGTCACAAAAGCGGATCACGTGACCGTGAGATACTGCGACTGTCATAAATAAGGGACAGTTGCTAATTCGCTGAATTTTGATCAGATAACCATGGGGAAGGCTGCAATGACTAAGTGTGGGAAAAAAATTCAGTTTCATTGTAACCTTGGTCGCTAAATGAATGCTTGAGGACTATCTGTAAAATTATTTCAGAGTTTGGCATGAACCAAAATTCACTGGCTGACTGCCCCCCTCCCCATTTTCCCAGGCCGGTCCCTATCTCTCAGCCCAACCCACCTCACAAGCTGGTTGTTATTATGGGGAAAATAGGAGGAAGGAGTATTATGTATGTTTGAGCCTTGGGTTATTTATAAAAAAAATAAAGACAGGCTATGCATAACTCAGGGGTAGGCAACCTTGACTCTTTTATGACTGGTGGACTTCAACTCCCAGAATTCCTGAGCCAGCCATGCTGAGGGGAAAGAGAAAGGTTTCCAAGCTGAACCATGCTGGCTCAGGAATTCTGGGAGTTGAAATCCACAAGTCATAAAAAGCCAAGGTTGCCTACCCCTGGCTTAGGCCTGTATGTCACAACCTTGGGCACTCGGTGGACTTCAACTCCAAATTCCTCAGCCAACATGGGGGAACTATGGCCCCTTTATGACTTGTGGACTTCAACTCCCAGACTCCCAGAATTCCTCGGCCAGCATGGCTCAGCTTGGAAGCCTCTCCCTGTCGCCTCAGCATGGCTGGCTCAGGAATTCTGGGAGTTGAAGTCCACGAGTCATAAAAGAGCCAACCCCTGGCATAACTAAATAACCAATAACTAACTAACCACCGGGGCCTTAACTGGCCCCACAATATCCTTGCCGTTTTCCCTGTCCTGCCTCTCATCACTTCTGGCTGGGACACTCCATGCACAGCCTCAGGTACCCCAACCCTGCCTGTCGTCTCGTGTCAGAAATGCAGGAACTAGAAAAGGGGAAAATGTTTAATTTAATATTTAAAAAATTTAAAAGCTTTAATCACAGTAGCCATTGTTCCACCCTGCCTGTGGAGACCGCTTCTGCGCATGGAGATTGTTTTACCCTTCTCCACTCTCCTTTCTGCCCGAGGCTTTTTCACCAGGCTGCTTTCATTTTTAAAAACGTTTAACTTAAAAATAAGTGCATCAAAAACTGGTAAGTTAGCCCAGGTATCTCCAAAAATCCTGGACTGGGGAAATGTTTCTGGAACATGCCCCTTTTGAAACATTCAGCTTTCTGACGTGGCAACCAACTGCACAGCCCCACTCCAATCTTTCAAGGCAGCTCTGCCAGCTGGATTCTGCATTAGCTAGCAATGTTTCTCTCCAACTGGCAGAAAAAGCAAGCAGATTATTTATTGTTGTTGTTTTTGCACAGGATACACCTACTCCAGCTAGCCTACCTTCTTTTTTCCCCCTCTTTTTTTTCCAGAACGGCTTTCTGTCAGAACACGCCGGAAATTCACTTGTTTTCCTACAGGCCACCACCTACAGCAGGAGAAGCAGATGGACTACTTAAGCTGAATTGACCCGGTTTCATTTTTCAAGATGTGGTATTATTTACCCAGCTGATTGTTTGAAGCCCTGCAACTGAGTTGATGGAGGGCAAATGGCCCAGGAAGGAATGTGCAAAAACAGCAAATGGAGGAGGAGGAGAGAGCTTTCTTACTCAGTCTCAGCTCTGGTATATTTTTGCAAAGGAAGCACAAAAATTAGAAGCGCTGAGTAGCTGGTCAATCCTTCCCAGTCCCTTTTCCCTTATTTTCTCCGTGCAAAATCCTTCATTTCTGGGAACGTGCACAACGCTCGCTCCCTCCTCATCACTTACACGATGGCAGGCTTGGAAAGATTTGCAGAACTAAATCCAGTTCCTGTCTAAGCCAACTATGTTTGTTCATGTTTCTAAATTTTACTTCAGATAGACTGCCTCTAAGCTTGGAAGATCTATCCTCACTAAATAGCTCTGGACGGACTAATCAGCCCATAGGATCCTAGCCTTCAAATCCTACGTAGTTGAATCTGGGAGGAAAAGCATTTGCAACAGAACTAATTATTATTCCTTTCTAATCTCTTGCCAATTAAATTTCCCAATCTGTGACAGTTTGAAAATAATCGGTACGTCAAAAGCCAAGGAATCAAAAAGCAGAGCAGAACAGAGAAAGAGAAGGAGGACAGAACTTTTTCTGTTTTTCTTTCCCTGCTATGGGACACGCATTAACATTTCCAGGATGTGTGGAGAAAAAAACACAACAGAAAGAGCATTGTTTAATTCCAGGATTTTGTAAATCCCAGAAGATCTTTTTGGAAAAATCTGCAAATTTCTGTCTTCGGAATCTCTTGCCAACTCAAAAGGGCTGAGGTTTCCATTGCTTGGGGAAAGTGCACTTGGTTTCAAACTGGAGATGGACTTTGGGGGGGGGCAACTTTCCAAAACACTCACTGTCCCCTTGAAAGTTTTATAGCAGGAACTTTTCCAGGCTAAAGGCCACCCTCCCCAAAGGAGGCGGGTCTGTGACAAAAACACTGGGTGAGGCCAAAACAAAAACAGCAGCAGAGATCTCCCTTAATTTAACTGATACACCTACTGGACTCCAATTCCAGATCAATCCAGCTGATAGGACCCATTAATCTGCCATACCTTTTAATAATTTGCTCCTTCCAGGATATTTTTTTTCCCCTTTTCTTGATTTCCATTCAGGTTTGTGTTTATCTCTGTTTCTTTTGTGTTGTTTTTATGTTTTTTGCATTGTTTTTTTGGGGGGAAATGTTTGTAACAATTGAGAAACCATACAGAATCCCTCCTCCTCCCTCCCTTGAACATTTCTGGAGAGGCTTTCCTAGAATGGAAGAAGCACAGGTGATCCTTGGCTTACAACAGTTCATTTAGTGACCAAAATTACGACACTGAAAAAGGTGACTTATGACCCTTTTTCACAGTTACGACCTTTGCAGCATTCCCACAGTCACGTGTTCAAAACTCAAATACTTGACAACTGACATGTACTTATGACTGTTGTGTCCCAAGGTCACATGATGCCTTTTGCAACCTTCTGACAAGTGA